GATTTTAAAATATATAATAAAATACAGAAAAAGAAACTAAAACATTTTTGTGGATCCTTAAAAGCTCCTGGGCCCTAGCCACTGTGCCTACTGTATAGGTCAGCCCTGATGATACCTGGATACTATGACTTTAGGTAACGCTGAGTTTGTATTCTTTAATCCCTCTGGCCTCTAGAGGATCAGTGTTTATTTAATAGTTGATTTCACTCACTCAGGCATGCTCATCTGAGAAATGCAGGATGAAATGGGACTCAGCTACCTTATAGGTGGCAGACAGCCTCCCCCTTTGACTAAATTCTCTCACTCTCACACTCTCCTTTTTTTAAAAAGATTTTTATTGAGGATTTGGGGAGGGAACAGCATTGGGGAATTGGGGAAGGGGAACAGACAAGTTGCTGTCCTTTAGTTCTTCAGTCTAGTTGTGGAGGACGTCGCTTCACTGGCTCATGTTGGTATTGTGATCAATGCGCTCCACCTGGCTGAGGCAGATCGGTCACTGGCCATTGGACAGCCGCTCACGGTGGCTCAAGGCAGCTCACACTGGCTGCCGGCCGCTCATGCTGGCGGCTGCTGACCACTCACAGTAGCTTACAGCAGCCCACTCTAGCCTACGCCGTTGCCGGCGACTCACAGCAGCCCAGCTTCAGGTCGAGCTGTTGTTCACCATCTTAGCTGTAGAGGGCACAGCATCACTGGTCCATGTGGGATCCGAACCGGCGGCTCTGCTGCTCAGAGCTAGCACTCCCAAGCCAACTCTTAACTAACGAGCCACTCGGCTGGCCCTCACACTCTCCTTTTGCAGATAGCCAGGACCTCTTGCTGTCGCAAACTCTCTCTATATATAAAATCAGGAAATTATCTCCCAACACGTTTGCATTCATACCAATGTCTTAACTCTCCAGGTTTCCACACGTCAAAGACTATAACCTCTAACTGAATTAAATGCTTTGCCTCAGAACAACTTTCAAACTTTTCTGACCCCAACCTACACTAAAGAATACATTTTATATCAGGTCCAATACACACACAGATACAATGGAAGTTTTGTGAAATATACCCTGAAAAAATACTTGTTCTGGAAAGTTTCACATAATAAAATTTAGATTTACTATTGAATTCGCTCAAATTACCTCTTCTGTTCCACTTTTTAATAAATGCTGGTCTCACCCACTAAACTGATTTCATGACTCACTGATGGGTCACAGCCTGCAACTTGAAGAACAGTGGTCAAAGGAGTAACAAACATAAAAAATACAATATCTGAAGACAAAGCTATGTCTATTTCTGCAATAGGGATATATTTACTAAGGGTAACAGACATCTTATCCTTGGTCACAACATACTCTGCCCCATTGTATTTGATGAAGTATTATTGCCAACAAGGTTTCCTTTTTAAAATAATCCACTCATTTGAATATTTACTGAGCACCTACCATGTGCTGGGCACTGATCTAGGCTCTGCAAATACAGCAAGAATCACAACAAAGTCCAGACCCTCATGAGTGACATTCTGGTTGGGGGAGGTAGAAACAATAAAAGAAATAGGTAAATATATAGTCAGATGGTGGTAAGTGCTACAGAAGGATTTCTTCCAGACCCTTCTTTTCCTGGGCATGTTCACATAACAGCACCTCC